GTACCAATAATTGTTGAGCGAAAATATAGGTAACAATACGTAAGGGAATATTTATAAGGGAATATTTATGCTGAATAAGCTTATTATATGACTTTGGTTGTATTTAATAGGTTGGTCTAAAAATAATGAAAGGGTGCAATAACTTTTTTAAGTAGATTTTTTAGACTCCTTCTCTTTTAATAGTATAGATTACATTTGAGAATTGTTTGGAAACATGCATATTAGTTTAAATGAGAATTGTTTAGAAACATGGATAACAGTATAAAAAAAATATAATATTCTTTTAATAATTTCATTAACTATATTATCTTAATAATATACACATCATTAATTATATTTCACATCAACAATACATCAAATCATTAATTATCTATCTAACTAAAGTAGAAGTACCAATTGGAGTGTTTGGTAACAGGTTTACTAGCTATTTTAATGGTTGTTTGGTAACAAGTACATATCTATCAAATCTTAACATATTTTCGGATGGACTAAGGTATACTATAATTTCGACAAACCCAAATCGTCACAATAATATTGTTAACAAATCTCTCCTATGATTTTGTTAACAAATACCAATAATATCTTCCCTTAATTAACCTACGTTATGTTCAAAAAATACCAATAATATATATTTCAAAATTTTTTAAAAATAAAGTCATTTAAAAAACAAAATTTTAATAGATCAGGATTTTCTTTAAAAATAATAAAAAAATAAATATAATATTAAATTTTATTGATAAAATGTATTATTTTTAAAAAAAATTAATGAAAATGTTTATTTTTTAGATAAAATATTACCTGGGAACTCGCAGGTTACCCGCAAAATTAAGCGAGGAGGATGTGGTATGGTAAATTTTGAATTGCGGGTTGAACGGGTCAAAATTTTAAGTAAAAAAAAGTAGTTGACCTGCGGGTTATATACGACCAAAGGGTTTAAAACATATCAGTTGGCAGAACCTCTGATAGAATGGTATTTGAAGAACATATGCCAATCCGAGTTATATAAGACAAGGAAATCTAAAAATACTCTTTTATTTGTGAAATACAATTTAGTTTTGGGTTTTTAATTTGGTACGTTCAGTTTGCGGCTTCGAATAAATATATCCAAACATATACTCTTAGTTTACAAATGTGGTTAGATATTTAATAAAAACAATAAAAACAATTAAAAACTAAACCCGGTCTTTCCAAAGGCGGGTCAAAATCTAGTATATAATTGTGTTATATAGCAGTGTCTTCGTCATATCTTTTATGAGGTTTGATTGTGAGAGTGACACATACAGATAATGGCAAAAGTGACTTCCAAAAACTGTATTTGTTCTGAATTAAAGAAGCTTGTTGTTTGAGATCTTTTTCCAGTACACTCCATAATAATCAGGAAACATACATACCATTACCCTAAACAAAACAGGGAATGAAAATTCAATAGACCTTTCGGTAATTTAATAGTTTAATTAAAAATAGTAATATATTTTATTAATCGTAGGTTTTATGGAATCACACTATTCACATATGTTGATATTTGTAAATTTAATGTATAAACTAGATTGTGACCCGCTCAACCGAGCGGGTTTTAATTTCATTTATATATATTTGTTTACATTATTATGGGTATATATATTTTTCATATATTAATCACATATTTAAATATTTAATAATTTTTATTTTGTTTTGTCAACCAAATGGTTATTTGTTTATGTATATTAATTTTAGATAATATATTGTTGTATATATAAATTTAAGATATATTAATTTGTATACATGTAATACATAGTATGTTACCCCTTTTTGACAACATAATATATTATTTTAACATATATATTTCTATTTATGAAAATAAATATATTAATATATCATTTTAATTTAGTTTTATGATATATTTCTATTTGATGATAATTAAAATTTGAAATAACTGATTTTCGAAATNTATTAATTTGTATACATGTAATACATAGTATGTTACCCCTTTTTGACAACATAATATATTATTTTAACATATATATTTCTATTTATGAAAATAAATATATTAATATATCATTTTAATTTAGTTTTATGATATATTTCTATTTGATGATAATTAAAATTTGAAATAACTGATTTTCGAAATATATTTCTAAAAGATTTTAAAAGATTGCAAAAAGATTTTGTTAGAATCTATTTCCAAATATTTATTTACATTTCCAATAAAAATAAGATATGAAAAGATATCATAATTAACATATGTAAAATTTATAAAGATGGTCCAAATTAAAAAATCACACATAAAGTGAAATGGTGACTTCTGTTTTAATATATAAGACTAGATTTTGACCCGCGCAACCGCGCGGATGTTTATTTTCACTTTAATATATCTATATATATTAAATATTTTCATTATTTATTTAAAGATAATAATTTTATTTTTATAATTTTATCAATTAAATTAATTATTTAAAATCTTCGCTTGTAATTGTTAACTATTTTATACCTATTTATTGGATTTGTTAAATTATTAAACGAACTAATATATATAAATTTGAACAAATATTAACTATATTTTAATCAGGTATATATGTTTCTAAACCTACCAAATATTCTAACTTTTAGTTTTTTTACACCAGGTTAGTCTTTTTTTGTGTAATATCTTATATTTGGAGATTTTTAAACCAAAAAATGAAGAAATTAAATGAGAATTTGTATACTTATGACAAATATATATTTTGTGATTTAGTATTATATTCTATGATTTAAACATTGTTTGGACCAAATCTCATTTGTTTATATGTTTGAAAATGTTGACCACATAAAAATCTGGTATTGTTCCACCTTTTTCTCAGATTTATTTCTTGTTCAATAACTGATTTTAAGAATATTATTTATTATAATAGATCATGTTATTATGAGAATTAAATGATATGTATTTAGATGATTTTCTAAGGATAGTCCATTTTTTAAAATATCACACATGAAGAGAAGTCACAATGAAGAGAAGTTGTGACTTCTCTTTTAATATAATAGATAACTAGATTTTGAACCCGCACATCCGTGCGGGTATGTTTTTCATTTTATAAAAATTTAACAAAACCTTTCAAATATATATGATTTACATTCTATTGTTATATATTGTATAATTTTATAATCTTATAATTTTAATTATTTTTATATAATATATTGTTGTAAGTTTTAAAATTAAAAAATATTCATATTAATTTATATATATATTTGTTGTGAGTTACAAAAATATATGTTAACATTTTTGTATAAAAATATTATATGATTTAAAAACTTTAATATGTTTTAAAAGTGAGTGATATTTATTTATTTATTTGAATAAAACAAATTTTTTAAAATAAAATATTTTCCTTTACCAATTTAATATATTTTATATTCATTTCAAATAGCATTTTATTTTAATATAGTGTAGAATATAAGTAAATTATGAAATATAACAATTTTTATTTTAATTAAAATTAATATCAATATTTATATATATATATATATTAATCACGAAATTAAATAATGCATATTTTAAAAAAATATTTAAACTTCTTAGTAAGATCTTGTTAGATATTTTCTCAACAAATTTATTACTAATATCTTATTATTATTAAAATATTGCTCCAATTATATATATTTGATTGATTAATATATATACTTAAATATGTCATATTAATGAGATAGTCCAACATAAATCTTTGTAGTAGATATAAATGGTACTTCTCTTTTAATAGAGAAGAATGGAATATAACAATTTTTATTTTAATTAAAATTAATATCAATATTTATATATATATTAATCACGAAATTAAATAATGCATATTTTAAAAAAATATTTAAACTTTTTAGTAAGATCTTGTTAAATATTTTCTCAACAAATTTATTACTAATATCTTATTATTATTAAAATATTGCTCCAATTATATATATTTGACTGATTAATATAAATACTTAAATATGTCATATTAATGAGATGGTCCAACATAACTTTTTGTAGTAGATATAAATGGTACTTCTCTTTTAATAGAGAAGATTTTGGTTATTTTGCGATATTTCAGTTCAGATATTAACAGACACACAAAATTGGTTAGTATTTCATAGCCATTGGTTCAAGTAACAGAAAATATGCTTGCGAATATATAATAAATCCGATTAGTCGAAAAAGAGAGTCCGATATTGATGAAGATCTCTCTAGTCATGGTTAGTGTAACAATATAGATTACAAGATGAATAAAATTGAGATTACTTAAACAAATTTATATTAAAATGTTGCTTATGCATTTTTTTTAATGTTCATGAACAATGATTAAGAGGCGTCAAGAATATTGTCACCAGGAGCAAATACTATATAGATTTAATAATTAAACTTATAATGTTACACATATATAATATATATATTATTAAAATTAGCAAAGAAATTTTGGACCATTTTAGGTCTTGTAAAATTTTGAGAGAAAATCTATTGAGAACTGAAATGGTTTGCAAAACGGAAGTGACATTATTATAAATGGAAAAGTGATTGTCTTTTATTTTATAAAAAGGTAGTCACGTGCATAGCATAGATGCTACACATGTGCCTATGTTAAAAAGACGAGACAGTCTCGTGAGTGTCGTCATGACTGTTACAAGGCTGCTGAAGCCCTAAGCTGTAGTAATGTACGATTGAATCTAAATCGACTTAATTATCAGATTAAAAATTCGGAAAGATTCGTGCTTACTTACTCCTATCGATAACAACAACACTTACATTTTTAAACAAAGTAGATATTTAGAACTAAAGAAAATATGTATGTATATATATATATGTGTATTGCAGCGGGGAAGACAGCTACGTCTTTGTTTTTCTTGATTGTTTAAGACTAGTGCATAATAAAAATGAATAAGCTTGGAGGATAAAATGTAATAAAGAAAGACTAGCTATATGGCGACATTAATAACTTGTCAACAGAACCTTACAGATTAAAAAGAGGAATTAAATAATTATAACAAAGTTGCAAAGTTTTGAGTGTAAATAGATCACCATACATGGACTGGTCTCGCCACAGTTAAGGTCACTCAAAAATTAATTCAGAAAAAGAGAAGAAAACGAAGAAAATGGCAAAGAACCTTGACTCCATCAGCTTCACGGTTCTCTTGCTTGTCCTCTCGATGGCTTCTACGGGTATTTGTTAAATAAGCCCTATATTATACCCTGTACTTGTGCATATAACATCATCTCTTCTAATTATCTTGTCTGATGAATTTGATGAATATGTTACCATTTATAGACATTATGAAGAGCGAGGCTACATGCATTTTCTTAAACGGCCGCACGATGACTGCCCCATGTTTAGATACTAACTGCAGAGCCTTTTGCGACAACCTATATGGGAGTAATAATCTTTGTGCTGCACCTTGTGAAGCTGTCGGGAAAAAGGTCAACTGCCATTGTTACGGATATATACGTGGTGAAGTTTGAGGATATCACAAGTGTGTACGTTTATGTTCAAATTTTGTTTGCTCCCACATGAAACGTCAAGGAAAATTTTAGCACTGCTTGCACCAAGGTGAAATCCCATGTTTTGTACACTTTGAATCATTATTAATAGTAAACTCGTTTGTGTTTAATTAGATCCCGGTAACATTTAACTTTCTATCCATAGAGAGAGTTTTGTATATTGTTGATGACAAAAACTCATTGTCAAATTACCGGGTTCTACCTCTCGGTTTAACTGCGACTCCTCCCTTTGCGGTAAGAGGTTGTAGCAATCCGGCTCAAAACCTCAGGACAGCTTCTCGGTTTGTTGTGTCGGTCCCCAATTAGTCTAGATCAAGTTTGTGTTTAGTTTTTTGTTTTCTGTTAGTCTGCCTCTTGTTCTCTATGTATTGTATCTTTGTCAAAAATATAAAAACTGGTAATAATATCTTTACATTTTTACCAAAGAAAAAAAATATTCATTGTCAATTTTTGTAAAATAGAAAGAATGTGGGGATTAGGTTTTGTCCGAGGAACAAATAAACACGGTTTTAACACGGTTTTAGTAAATAGATTCGAAGAAAGATGGCTGAATTATCTTGTTAATTTGATGACTGAGACTTGAATACAAAATAAAAGAGAGCTTTAGCATCGAGCTTGGAAGCGATAAGAAACAAAATACAAACTATTTTACTATGATCCACAGTGTGTAATGTAGTTTATCCAAGTAAGACTTTTTTTTCTACTCTTTTTATTGTCTGAGATTACGCTTCTTATCCTAGTGATCTATGTTGATTGCACATTTCTACGAAATAATCTTTACTTTGCTTGATTTGATGTTTCAGTCTGAGGAGTGCACTTTAATTACGGTGAACCTCTATAAATTAACAATGTTGGAACTGCACTAAAACTATAATTTTTTTTTTTAATTTATAGAGATTATTAATTTACTGATATATTAATTGAACCAAAAACTCAATTTGAGACTATAAAACTATATTATTTTATAGATATTTTTAGTATATATTAATTTATTGAGTATTAATTTTTAGAATTTCTACTGTATATGTAATTCATTAAAGGTGTGCACTTATATAATTGATTTTGTGATTTTCTCTGGTAGGTCAGACGTTCGGGTGTCCAAATCAGGTTTGGAGGGGCTCAGTTAGGTTCCGATTCTTCGGGACCATGAGGTTTTAGACCCATTAGAAAGCTTTTAAAGTCAAGTTCATATTTGGTTCATTTTAAAATTTAGTTCAGATAAATTAACACTTTGTAAAACGGATTTAAACCGTTTAAATCCAGGCTAGGTTCTAATCCAGGTTTCAGTTATCTATTTGTTTGTGATTCAAAAGTATGCATTTTAGTTCACAAGCTTTACAAGTTTAAACCATTTCCACTAACAAAAAGTTGAGGACATAATTCATAAGCGAGTTTAAGAGAATAACAAATTTAAACAAATTAAATTAACAACTAACACTTCTATACATATACAAAATATTATTTAAACTCCAGAATAAAACTTATTTATCATATTCAAAGTTTAAATGTAATTGTCAAAACATATATATCTCAACATTTGACCAAATATAAAAAGTATACATTAAAATGAGCATTTGAGTTAATTATACATGTTGTAGATATTTATTTAGGTAACTATTGATCTTTTACTATAAAAAAAAAAAAGAAAAATGAGAAAAGACATGAACTTCTTGATAAAAGAGTATTGTTTGTTTATTTAGGTAACTATTGAGATATTTTATTGTTGTAATAAATAAACAATACTCCTCTATCAAGAAGTTCATGTCTTTGCTCTTCTTTTTTTTTTTTTTATAATACTATAGTATTACATAAGTATTTTGTAGAGAAATTCTCGTATTGTCATCTGGTAGAGTAAACAAAACAAACTTTCATCTCCATTTTTAGTAAAGTATTATTTAACAAATTAATTTTAACCATTTAAAAATACGTGAACATAATTCATATATTTTCACAAATAGTAAATAATGGAATGAAACAAATAATTTTCAAATAACTTTTTTGAGCAATACTCAAAATAAAAGGCATTTGTTTTAGAAAATTCAAATATAATTCCAAATCTTTGTTACTTGTACAAGATAAACCAAATATCAAATATGTTTAAAATAAATGTAGTTGGCTTTTACCCACCTATAAATGCAACATGTAAAAAACAATATTTTAAGTAATATTAGAGAAACTTAAATATATATTTATTTTTCTACCTAAAAAAGAAAAAGAAAATTATACCTGAAGAGGAAACTAATAAAATATCTTACTAATATCAATTAATTTTAATAATTTTAATTTGTTAAGTATATATGTAATTATTTTTTATTTTTAAATTAAATGAACTAAAAATTAATAAATAAGACATAAAAACTATTAAAAAATTTACATCTATTTCAGTCATTTTTATTTTGAAAATTTATATTTGTGACAACCACTTTTTTAATCTATCTTAAAGAATTTCTCAATTAGTTAAAGTAAGCTCATGTCTAAAGTCACGTGCACCATATCATCTTCCCCAAATTCGACAAGTTTTAATTTGTGGGTTTTCTTCTTGTATAGATTAGTGGGCTTTATTTCCGGCCCATTAAGAAATAAAGAAGCATTATAGTCAGATAAAACCTAGCTCTCCCGCGTCGTCACCGTCTCCGTCTCCGTCCCCTTAGCCGTCGAATCCCTCCTTTACGTTCAGCCGCCGCTACCTACTTCTCTTGCTGCAACTCTTTAGCGCATCAGTTTCCATGTAATGTTATTTTTTATATCTCTTGAGACAAAAGTTTATTCCTAGCTTTGTTTGATGATAGTAACGCACCAGTTTTTACATATAAGCTTCGTTAATAGTATTGTGTATTGTAAGCATCAATGGCAAAAGAACCAAGCTTTGCTTTAGTTTTGAGCTTTGGTTGATGACTGGGGATTTCTATCTAATAAAATGAAGTTGTGTCTTGTCTTTTTGTTTCATATGAGAGTGAACAAATATTCTTTATCTTATTTGGTGGTGACAGAACCAAAAAAACTATGGGATTACCAGATTCGTGTCAAGACTTGTCGACAGAGATGGAGGTGGATGCTTTCAGGAGGTTATTCCCTCTCCGTTTCTTTGAGCGTCATCTCTCTGAATCTCTCCGTCCTGATGGGAGACCACTTGGAAAAGCCAGAGACACCAATGTCAACCTTGGTAAAGTCACCTTAACTGATCCATCATCACAGTCAGTCATTGAAACACTTGACTTGATTGAATTATATTCTCTTCTCTTTGTGTAATAGGGCTTGTTTCGTCTGCTGATGGATCTGCTCTTGCCAAGATTGGTTCTACAGTAAGCTTTTCGAACTTATATTTTTCATCAATGTTACTGTGTTTTTTTGTTAAATAGGTTCTGTTTTTTTGGTTTTGTGTATAGACAATGCTTGCTGCTATAAGAATGGAAGTTATGACTCCTTCTACAGACTCTCCAGATGAAGGATGCATAGGTGGTTGTTATTATCTCTCTTTTTACTCTTTCTATGTGTTTTTGTGACTGATCGATTACTTTTTTTTTAGCTGTTGAGTTCCACATGCCTCCTATATGCTCTCCAACTGTTCGTCCTGGTAGACCAGCTGACGAGGCTCCTGTTATTTCCAAGCGTTTGTCTGATGTTATCTCAAGGTGTTTCTCTTTGAATCTTTGACATATACATCCTTGTGCCCTTATCCTTGTGTTTAGAAGAAGGTTCTTTCTAAAATTGTTTCTCTTTGTTGTAGTTGTGATATGATTGACCTTAAAGAACTTTGCCTAGTTAGTGGAAAAGCTGCTTGGATGGGTTATCTGGTCAGTACACACCTCCCTCTATATCCTGCTTTCACAAAATATCTTGTTATCGGTTTTCATCACCATTCGTCTAGTGAGTTTGTTACTGTGTAGATAATAAATATTGCTGCTCTCTGAAATTTCTTATAGGACATATACTGTTTGGATGCTGATGGTGCTCTTTTTGATGCTGCTCTGCTTTCTGCTGTTGCTGCCTTTTCTAATTGTAAGTTCTTCTTCCATAAGAACCAATAACCATGTGACATTATCTCTCTGTAGAAAAGCAGCTTGGTTATACTCAGACCAAATCTTGCTATGATGCATAAGAGGTTTTTTTTTTTTGGAATTTTGCAGTGCAAATACCAGTTGTTGCTTTGAACGACAATGGAAGAATAGTTGCCATCAACGGAGATGGAGAACAAGAGAACAATGCATCGATCACGGAGAAGGAAGCAGTGAACAAGGAGAAGAGAAAACTCACACTCAAGAACATCCCTTTCTCTTTAACATGCATACTCCACAAGAAGTACATTCTAGCAGACCCAACAGCTGAAGAAGAATCCATCATGGACACTCTTGTGACTGTTGTTTTGGACTCCTCAGATCAAATTGTTAATTTCAATAAATCAGGAGGAAGCGCTCTCGTTGGTTCATCAGCCATCAAGGTGAGAGTTATCACCATTCTCATGAATGAATAATCCACTGTTTTTTTTTTGTTCTTATATAGTTTTGCCTTACTGGTTTTTCGTCACAGAGCTGTGTGGAGTTGGCAAGGAAGAGAGGGAAAGAGCTTAAGCAGATATTGGGAGATATGGATATCGACTGATTACAATATCAAGTGGACAATGTTAATCATTCCCATAACATTATGAGAAATTTTGTGTTACATAATTTTAATCAGAGACCTCCAAGAACTAAGTTAGTGTTAAACAGGTGATCTGCTCCATTTTTGTTAACAATATGTTTTGGTGATCATATAACGAGTTTAATACTAGTGCAAGTGTTCGATTATATGTTAATCGTTTTAAATGCCTTGTTCGGTTCAAAGTAAAGATTATTGTAGAAAAAAAAAACCTTCTAGATCCATCGGAGGTCGTCCATTACGATTTGACGTGTTTGTCCATTTGAAGATCTCCATGTGTGTATTGTCGTCAATAGGAAGTTCTGCCTCTGCACAAAACGGCAATAAATGGATACTTATTAGTGTTACAAAAAAAAAGGTACTTATTATCTATTCATGAAAACAATGCTCCAATAGCCACCAAACCATATATATACAATTTCATAAACTTCTCCCATTGCGCCTTTTTCAGTAAGTATTTATTGGATTGATTTGGCCACACCCCACCAAAGAGCGGTAAAGATGAAATGTTAAACATTAAGAAGTTACTTCCACATAGTTTATTCATGTGATTCAGATGTGATGGATGTCATCTCTTTTCTTCGATGCAAGAAGGACAAGGGTCTAAAATATCCGTCAATTGTTGCATTTAAGAGCAGCACCGTCAAGATTGAGTTCAACTCCAAATTTTAGAGCAATGGTAGTTCAGGACTAAAGTCAACGGCTGATAGTTCAGAAACCTCCAACCATTTGTAGTTGAGAAAACCTGATATATTCTTGATAAAAAGGAAAAAAAATTAACCATCATCTTTGGCGGTTGATGTGAAATGATTTTCCAAACGTTCACATTTCTATATCACCAATATCGTTGATTAATTTAGGACAAGGTTGGTAATTAAAAAAAAAAAACATCTCAGAACATCCATTGACCATTTCATTTTTGATCAGTTTTGTGGGTCTTTTCAATATCATGAACCCAGAACACAGACTAACAATACTTCCTCAGTTCAATTAGAAAATAAAAATACCAAATGAAAAGTCTAAAAATCACAAACGTTAATTCAAAACTAATATTTGGTTATGGGTAATGGACTTCGGCCCAAAACTTTTTGAAATGCTGACTAATTTGTATGGTTTGTTGACAAATTGGATACTATTGCATCACAGATGTTTAGCCGTGATTGTAAATTATAGAGAGATATTTTGGATTTCAGTCCTGTAAACCATCCACATGGTTAATCTTTCAACACTTGAGCACCATCAGCCGTTGATTTAGCTCTCTAATTTAAAACTATAGGATTTTGAACACATCCATCAACCGAATTTTGTTTTTATTTCCTTACATTTATTGTACCTATTTATAGCTAAACAAAGGAAAAATCAAAGAAGTCCTTGTTACTTTGTTGGATTGTCTATATTTTTTATTATCCTATATTTTAGAAGTTACGAAATGTAATTTGATGTGATATTTAGTGTAGTTACAAGCGTTTTTAGAGTTTGATTATATAAGTCAGTTCTTGTCTACTTTATTCTTTCTACATAACCGCGGTCACTGCGATTTTCCCGCATTTTGGTGCTAACAAAAAATAAAACTTGAGTTCTTGACCAAAACAAGTCCAAAGAAGCAGAACATTGAATACTCTATTGCGAGAAAATAATATTTATGTCAGTCTTTCAGTTTAAAAAGGTTACGTAATATTTTATTCAAGACATGAAATCTGCTTAAATTAAAACAAAAAGACATGGAATCTGCAACCATTTTACACAAGTACCGCTAAATCAACGTACTACGTCAGAAACATGACATACATACCACTACAATACAAAGCTTAATATTTATTTATCTTCCCAACTAAGAGAAAAAGTAATAAAATCTAAGATTTTAATGTCAGACCAGGAAAATTCTTAGTACAATTTATTAATACTTATTGTACGCAAACACGAGAGATTTATTAGAGACTCAATAATCCTCCCTAAGAAACCCACCGATCTTATGCTCTCTGTCGCAATTATTGTTATAGTCATAAATATCATTATTATTTTTGTAATTATTGTTGTTAGTATCATTACTACCCTCACCAACCAAATCATTAGGTTGAACCCTAAACGCGCCGTTTTGATCTTCTTGACTCATTTCTTCCTTAGCATTGTGGTGAAACGGGAAGTAACCCGCTTGCGTGGCCGGAGGTACAACCGACGGAAGCTTCGAGAGAAGAGCCTCGAGGCTGCTCATGGACGGTGTTATCTTCATCGGCTGTTGGTGTTGGTCCATCAAGAAGTGGTGGTGCTGGTCAGAGTGGTAGATACGCTGTTGGTGGTACTCAAGCTGCGACGGAGGAGGAGCTACTCCCGGGAAATGCCACGTGTCAGAAGTAGAAGTGTTGATGAAAGGGTAACCAGAAGAAGAAGGATGAGGAAGAAGTACTCCAGGGATGCTTTCTATATAGCTCAGCTTCTTCCTTAACATCACAACATAGCTTAAATCCTCTATCACCTTTAAAAATAACATTTTAAGTATGTAAATATATCATCTTGTATATATAAATTTAATATATATATATACAGTGTATATAATGTAAATATAGATAGTTTGAAAAAATAAAGTATATACAGAGAAAAAAACCTTGTGAACAGCTCCTAATTGGACAACACCTTCTCGAACAGAAATCAAGGCAATGGTCTGCAAAACATTTTCATGTAATGTCTATATATATATGGAAGTATATATATATATATATATATATATATATATATATATATATATATATATATGCTGATGTAACTAAACAAGATACCTTAATGCCAGATTGAAACTGAGCTTCCCATGTCCTAGGGTACTGCACATTGACATAAACTTTGATCAGTATTAAGTTTCAATTAGTTTGTGGTTAATATAATAGTTATACAATATATAAATCTATATATACGTTTATAAATCTCAAAGTTATGGATACTTTCTTTATTTCAAATTTATGTATAATGTAAATGGGCATATAAAAATATGCATGTCAAGGCATGTCTATGTATTATGTATATGCTTACTGAGTCTGCAGAATTTTGCCACGCAGATAAGAAGTTAATCTCTTGGTCATTAGGTTCTTTATAAATCCACTTGTGACTGTGATCTGCAGCCACTTTTCCTATCAACCTGCACAAAATTTAATACTTCACTCATTAAATTAATTATCACTATTTAAATAATACTTTATTTAGTTGACAATGATTAATTATATTAAATACTCCCTTTGCCAAAAATATGATTAAAATACACTTTGCAATCATCCACAAGAATTTTAAATAGGTATGGATCTTAAACATTGATTTTAAAAGAGGTAGTTTGACTGATAACTTTCTAAAACCAACTTATTTACATGTACATACATATGGATATAAACTGAGTAAGAAAAATAGGTATTGAAATAGAATGGCTCTGGTCCAAAAAAACATCTTGTTAACCGAAAAAAGTGAAAACTAAAAGAGAGAAGTACTGTATGAAAAAAGAAAATCTTGGAAATAAAACAGATTCCTTTGCTTAAAATCATTTTAATTAACTCTTGTTAAGAAACAAAATATGTATTATACGTATGTGTAATTTATCCTCACATACCCTTCTCCATAATTGTAGATTTCATGGGACATCTTGAAGAACAACTCAGGCTGAAGCCCTTGATATTGTTGATAAGCACTATTTCCGTACGCCGTCGAGCCGCCACTTCCCCCGCTACACTCGCCGGAGATCACTTCCCCGGCAGAAGCTGCAAAGTTGCAAAATCCATCTTCCCAAACCAAGATCCTGCCAGTTATACAACCTTATTGTTAATTATATACCCCAAGAATGCATTATGTAAATTTATATATTGTAGTTTCTGTATGTGGTTTTACTAGTACCAGTTTCTTCTGTTCCCTCTTGATCTATCATAAGCTCCTTGACCATCCCATCTAATTGCAAACAGCACCAAATGATCGAACATAGTTATCATTCAGACAAATATTGTTTTCCTAAAGATAATTACATATATTTTGTAAAATAAGCTCCAAAACCCAAATACGAGTACATAACAAACTACAAAAGAACAGCAAATGAAAAGAATAACAAGTTTGCAATAAAAAGCAAGACTTTTAGACTTGTTATTTGTATACGGTTGACTTTAATCATAAGCTTACTTAGGAGGAGGATAGTTTCTGGGCAAGATCCTCCAAAAAACAGCATAAACCCATTGGGAATTTTCGTGGCTACATAAGCTTCTTAGTGTGTGTTGAAGAAGATGAGTTACAGCTAATGGATTTAGATGTTCTTCCATTTATTCTTAGTTAATTCTCAAAAGTTTTGTTTTTTGGTTCTTCTCTTTGTTTTTGTTTGGTGTATAAAGACTTTCATTAGGTTGAAGAAGATAGAAAACCCTCACTACCTATCCTCCTTTAAATAGCAAGCTTATAGATCCACCCCAAAGATTGTCCAAAAAAATAGATCCGCCCCAAAGCATCTTTTTTTTTTCTTTTTAATTATATTTTGGATGGAGATAAGAAATTAATTTATCTAACCATTTTGATTTTCCACGTGTGTAGATATTTACCTAACGTCATATTATTCTTGTTTTCGTTACTTTTATGTCCCAAGTAAAAAACTCACATAATTTTCTAACGCTTGAAAACCTGCACAAGCAGACCTTTTATATCATTTGGACCTGATACCTTTCAACCTCTACTGACATTAATCAAAACGACTACATAAAGAATTCCAAGACCTGTGGTAACGTATAACGCTATAATTTGACATGTTCTGCAATAAAAAAAATTGGTATTTATTATTTAATATGTATCACATTATTAATTTTATCACTTATGTCAAAAGTGTAAGTCATGTATATGTGTATTTATGTTATTTTATTTAACATTACGAACTAGAGTAGTAAAATACAAATTAAAGGGTTATATTCGATTTTTAATTAACTTGTTCGTAAAGTTAAAAGTTAAAGCTAAAATGTGTATAGTGTGCAGTAAAATATGATTAAGGGCAGTTGAGATTGTTTTCTAGTGAGTAAAGTTTGATTCCAACAACATAAATGTAGTAGTGGTAAAGTTTGATTCCTATTATCAAACTACACCAATTTTTGGATAGAACATGCAGATATATGATCTTCTTCTTTTTTGGCTAAAAACCTGTATATGATCTTTTAAGTTGAATATATAAAAAATCTACGTACTGATAGCCCGGACCATATATTATATATGTAGAGATAACATATTCAACATTATTGGGTTCTTCGCAAAATGAGAAACTATCTATTTACCGGAAAACCAAATGTAAGTTAACGTATTCTCTTCTAATAATTGTTTTTACTGACAAGAAACTGTCAAATTGATTGAAATTCAAACCCTATATATGAAATAAAGTTTGGGTCTCCTTTTACCAACACGTTCATTTTTCAGTTCAGTAGTTAGTTAACGAAAACTGTACCTGTACGTCTTTCTTTGATTCTTTACATGTGTTTTATTTTATTTTCTCCATGCTACTATCTATATTATTAAAATTAAAGTACACACTAGAGTTATTTGGAAACTAGAATAGTAGTCTAAACTAGATGATAACTCGCGCGCATGTGCGGAGTGAAAAATTTATACTAATATTTATTCATTAAATGTTTTTTTTTAACATTTTACAATACTATAGTATTTATTGATTATAAAATAATGAATTCAAATGTTGGTATCTTAAATCATCATAGGTCTTGACGTTTGAGATTTCGTCGGTTTTGGTTTGATTGACACGTATTTTCAGATTTTGGTATTATTCTCATAAATCCTATTTGAATTTTACTAATTATCGTATTGGATTCGATTTGATCTTCTCAATTCAGTTTGGATTAGATTATAACCAATATCTGAAATCATCCCAAAATATATATTTTAAACATTAAAAGTTGACAAAAAATTCAAAATATTTAAACTATTAATAAATCTAATTTAAAATTAGTTAAATTATCTAAACAAACTAAAAGATATTCAAAAAAAGAAGCAAATAAAACAAACTACAAAAATATTTCGAATACTATAATTTGTATCTACTAACCTCAAATCTTTTCACTGAAAATTTTAAATTAACATATTTATAATATGAATATCTACTAATGATACTTCATATTCGTACGATTTATGATAATTTGTATCTTCTTTGGAAAAAAACAAAGTTAAACCATTGATCATAAAATTTTCAATGTGGGATTTTACTATTTTTAGTTATTTATGGTCGTTTTAAAAAAATAGAAATATAACCTATAAGAAAAAGTTTACTTTTTTTTATTATATATTTAATGTGATTGCTTAATTTATTTTAATAATTTAAAATTAAACAAAAAAGAGAGAGGATACAAAAATATGTATTATTCATAATCATTAATTACATATATATGTTAATCATATTAGGTAATTCCGTAGTTTTGATTTAAGGAAATAAAATATATTTTTTTTATACTTAGCAGAGTTGGTCCATTAAAAAATATCTATATATTATAGTCCTAAATGCAAGAAATTAAATGTTACATTATTTCATTCCTAGCAAAGTTGGTTCATTAAAAAATTAAATCTGAGAAACTCTATGAGCTTGACACGTAAACCTGATCTCCAAAGTTGTGCATTTATGAATGCTTCAGGATTAATATATAGGGGATTAAAACTGTTTGGAAACAAAGATAATTAGTGTCCTTTTAACGAAAATCAAAATTAAAAATTTACAACAATTAGCAGTTAATTTACCCAGTCTCTCGGCTAACCAACTGGTTCAATTAATCAAACAATTATGGTAACATAATTTTAATTGCTTCCAATTAATATTCGCTGGATTCTGAGTTGCAATTCTTGCAATAAATTATTACCTTAATTTTCTAAACTAAACTTCTTTTTCAAGTTTTTTATTTCTCCAACATTCTCCAAACCCTCTTATATTGTTTCCCAATCTCCTTAAATGCCGTCGACAAGAAAAAGAAGATGAGCATTAAATTAGAGAATTTGAGATTTTGTATTTGATTTAGCTTTTTGGAGTAATTACGACAAGAAGATGATGAACTAAGGAGAGAGAGACACCAATAGAGAATTATATGAAAAAGCAAAAAAATTCCAAAATAATTAGTGGGCCAAATAGACATTGAAGACAATATTAATATAGGCCATATTTTATGTAAATCTTGATTTGTTGATTTAGGAATTATATCATATAGCCAAATTTTGTAAATAATATATATTTTAAAAATTTCTTATATAAAACGAAGAAAACAATACTATATTTTCTTCACCATTTTATGGTTGTTGTTTTCTTAGGTAAAAATAAATATCAAACAAAAATATATAATATACTAAATAAATGAATATTTACAAAATATAGTATTATCTTATTTATTTTAGTCATATATAAATATTTTAGGCTAAAATATTAAAACAATTAATAATTCATATAAAACTAAATTTTCTGAATTACAAATTTCAACATTTTGTTACAATTTGAAATAAAATAAATAAATTGGTTAATATATGATTAGTGCAATTTTATAAGAAAAACAAACTCCATAAATTATAAGTTTAAAAAAACAAACTGCACAAGTTATAAATGTTTTGAAATATATTATGTACAAATAAAAATAAATAATTTTCTAAATAATCTAATAATATCTTTTCAACTGTAAAAAATCAAAAATTAAAATTTATCATTTAAAAAAAAAAAAATCAGTTAGATATAGACTTCCAAGTATCTTTCGAGTACGAATCGTTTATTATTGGATATAATGTTTTAGAGTTTTGTAAATAGATAAAAATAAAATTTAAGTATTATAAATTTTTGGAGATGTTCGAGTTGGATCATTCTCGGTTCGGGTTGGTGTGTAAGAACCTAAAACATATAAATAAACTATAATTTTTAAAATACCATTAAATAATTTATAAAAAAAAAAAAAAAAAATTGCAAAACCGCGCGGGTCAAATCTAGTTTTTCTTAAATTCATTGTTCTTTTGAAGGAAAATTTTAAGCAATGTTTTTTTTTTTGACATCAAGCAATGTTCTTTTAATTGCCGACACCTTACATATAGATAGATGTATTAGGAAACATAACATTGATTCATTATTTCTTAATGCATATTTTTACATTATACAATATAAGTTAAGAAACCTTTATTGTTTAAAAAGAAGATGTATTTTACCAGATTATTCTAAGTTCAAATCATTTTTCTACAATAATGTGATACATATTAGTCATAAAAAACAATTTAAGCATCGTTTTGAAAATCCTTCAACATATTATTTGTGTAGTCACGTGAACTAAACCATGAAAAACATGGACAAGACTACATTGTTAATAGAACAATATCTATACTATTAAAACTAAAGCATATTTTTGAATCCCTTAATTTGTTTGGTTAATTAGTTTTTGAACCATTGAGAAAAATATATTTAATAGTTAGTTTATTAAATGCAGCTATTATTTGGGTATATGTTTCATATTAATGAGCCTAAGGGCTGAGCACAAATGCTTGATATTCGCTTGTAATCTTTACTTGACTCGGTTCGGTTTGAAAAAGACAAGTACTTGTTACAATCAAGTTGAGTAACAAGTAAATAGATTTTATTACTCGCAAGTACAAGTTAAATATCAAATTCATTTTTAACTATTTGGCTTGTTACTTAGTTTGTTACTTGTTATCATTTACTTATTCTATTATTTTTTATATATTACTTGGTTTATTAAATATTTAATATTCATTTTATAAATTAATTAAAATTTGTGTATTACATTTTATTGGTGATCAATTACTCGTTATTTACTTCTTATTCGCCATTTGATGGATAAATGATCTTTAAAAATTAGTATTTGTTATGACCAAGTTAAGTATCAAATAATCTATTTAAAATACTTGTAAATATAAAATAAATATTAATCAAATCAATTACTTGACGTTATTTTGTTTGTTACTTGTGTTTGTTAATGAACAAAGATATATTTTTCTAAATTATAGTAAAATAACTTATTTCTACATTTTCATAAGCAAATCAAACATAAGTGCTATATTTAATATTTATATAAGCATCTTAAAGTTTTCTCTTTCTTACATAGTCTATTTTTCGGATGACTTAAATACAAGAGAACAATGACATATTATTTATATAAGAAATTTATTTAACTTTAAATTATACTGAACTATCAAATAATTTACCAATAATTATGAATGAATTTGTAAGTAATTTATAAGTAACAAGTAATAAAACAAGTCAAGTAACTTACAAGTCCGTTAATGTTTTGCAAGTATTTAAAACTGTAAGTATTTGTTTTTAGCAAACCAAATACAAGTCAAAATATTTACTACTTATACAAACCAAGCCGAGTAT